CACCTAAAGAATTCCAGATAATAGTCTGTCTGTATGCCCTGCAACATTCAAACACTGACCGACCTTTTAACCTTGTGCACTCACCCATACCATCACACAACATTTCAACTCTGATCTACATTTTCAGATAATTTTGTCTGGACGAAGCCTGGCGACAGTTTATCGTTATTATGAAGATTACTGAAGATTACCAAAATAGAAATTACATTATCTAAATTATCTGATTAAAAGAGTAGACTTACTTCGTAAAAGAATATACAGGCATAATCCTGTTTAAAAACTGCCATAAAAACTTACCCCATATTGGTTAGCAGTGATTGTCTCTACAGTCGCATCCAAAGCTCCCAACTTGAATTTTCCTTTCAGTTGTGTTGCAGCTGAAGCCCACTCGGGAGCCAGGTTTTTACAGTGTCCACACCACGGAGCATAAAATTCAACCAACCAACCGTCTTCACTATTCAAGACTAAATCTTCAAAATTTTGGTCTGTGAGTGTCACAACATCGTCAGAGTTGCCACTACCGCCACCACCACCACTGCCACCCTGAAAAAGGCAGAGAAAAAAAGTTGTGACAGTTTTTAATGAAAGTATTATTTAGTGTGTTAAATATCTATAAATTGTACATCTGATGTCTGATGTGAATGTTTCAATTTTCATGCATTTTTAGCTTAAAATGGCTGCCATTCAGCCATCTTAAATCTAATTATGACACAAATTCACTTGTATAGCACTGATGTACGAGTGTACTTGTTTTGAACTTACCGGTAATGCTACCGACATGTAAGAAATATGAATCTAGAAATACATTTCTTTTTATTTTATTACAAAAGAGTGTATCAATGTCTCATTCTGTTCAATGTATGTAGCAAGTTTAAACCAAATCGTTTTTCACAGAGAGTTTCGAAGTGGTGAATGTGTGTGATTTTGATGGATTTTTAGCTAAAATGGCTGCCAATCGGCAATCTTGAATTCGATCATGCAATAAATACATTTGTCTGACACAATGTCTGATGCATGTGTTAAGTTTGAACTTGATCTGTGTAGGTAAGCAAGATACACTTGAATATGAACACAAGCATGCACAGATGCCAATTCACAAGTCCCAGTTTTAGAACTACAACCAGACAGACTAAAAAGTCCAGTTTTATAGTTAAATTATTTTGATTATGAGTCAAGTTAAGGGACACAAATACAATGTACCCCTTTCTGTCTGTAAATCTGATTGCTTCACCATATTCCTACACTCTGTTGTACTACCAAATTTAATTACATTCAATGCAAGTTTCCCTAATCCCAATTTATGTACTTGGCCATGGAATTCCTCACAAATGGTAATATGATTACTTACAGATCTGCTGCCGCCGCCGCCGCCGCCGCCGCCGCCACCACCCGCCTTCTTACCAAGTCTTTTGTTAACCATATCCTTAGCCTGTTTCAATGCTTCACTTGTTAAACCATCTGCAGTTCTAGCACCTGAGATACAATAGAATAAACAGCTTATGTCAATTAAAAATCAGGTTTTTTGAAAATCTGAGAGCTTGAACACAGTAAAGCGAGAGATAAAAAAGAGCTAGGAGTATGCTAATATTTTTTTTTTAAAGTTATCTTTTATTATTCAAAAACTACACATTTCGTTTTTCTTGTATTACACAAAACTATGCATTCATGCATGTATCTTATGTATTTTATTACTTATTATTTTCTGATTATTTTTTTTTTC